ATCTAATTTAACTACACTGAATGCATTTAATGACACTCAAGTTTATATACAGCTGCAGCCCAAGCAGTTGTATTTTATTGCAGAAAGGTTCAGAGGGACTCAGCATTGAGAATGAGATGCACAGACAGGAGTGTGAAGTAATTTTCCTCACCTGGTTCAGTGGTAATGATGCCATACCTCTCAAATACTACTTTACCACAGATGTTTGCCAAAGGCATTAACTCTTCAATCTGTCCCTTAATGTATCAGGCAGTGTTGCAGCTGGTGGAGGCTCAAATAAGAAAGAAAGTAAGGTAGGTGTTCAAGGTAGGTGTAAATATGCTATTTACATTTTGGCAGTTCAGAATGTTCTGTATTAGAGAAAAATATCATTCTGGAAACTCTTAGTGTGCTAAAACTGTAGACCAGTCTTCTATGCCAGTTATCACCTGCACTCAACCTGCAGAGTTCAATTGCAGTTTCAGACCTTTGTAACATTTTGATGTTTTCCACATTTAGTTCAGTTCTAAAGTGGATTTCATTATAGTTATGTAAAAAAAAAAAAGCTAACAAAACCCCTCACTTTTCTGAGATGTAAGATGCTGCATAAAATCATGTATTTTCTTTGCTTTGGGGACACGTTATGAACAGTCTCCTGTAGAAACAATCCAGTGGGGACATCATTCTCACCGGTTTTAGCACCATTGTGAGATTTTAGGTGAGGAGTATCAAGCAACAAGTGACCAAGAAAGAAAGCACTTCTGAGGAGATCATAGCACAGCCTGTCCCAGCCATATTGAGTATATTTTTCAAAACATATTGTCAGTAGGGCTCTTTTTTTCTCTTAATAGACCTGTCAATCTGAGAATCTTAATATTTGGGTCCAACTTGTTCTCTCAGGGAATAGGACTCATGTTATCTTTATATTGCTACTGCTTTCAAATGTGGAAAAAAAAATCAAAAACCCACAAATTGCATCAAGTAACTACATTGATACTTAGTCTCAAAAGGAGATTGTCAAGAAAAGAACATGCAATGTGGATTGTAGTGTAATAATAGATCCAGTGCAATTGCTGTTGCCACTGCTTTCATGGTGTCTGCAATTTAGTTTTCTGATCCTTAGGCCAACCAACAAAGATAATGATTAACACGGTCCTTATTCTCTTAAAGCAAAGCAAAGATGAAGGTAGCACGTGGTTGAAAAGTGAAAATACAACTAAAGATTTGGATGAATGCACAAGAGAACAAAGGAAAAATGACGAAGAGGGTAAGTTTTAAGGCTTATGTATTTCCTTCTATCTGGTGATTTTTAAATGTTGTTGATCCAGACATTTAAACAGGTAGAGCATACAAGTCTGCATCTACATAAATCCATGCTGCTGTTTGTTGCTTCCTAATTGCATTGATTCTTACTGATCATCTCAAGTTCCTGAAATAGTCTTGGCCAAAGTATTAAGAAAGAGCTGTTTGAAAACATTTGGTAGGGAGTAAATGGACTCGATGGGGTTATTCTACATCCTGTTTCTAGGTCAAGAATTGTGCTCATAGCATCAAATATGAAATGCTGAACACTTAGAGCCAGTTTGAACGGACAGCAAACAGTGAGATCTGCTGGTGATCATCTTTTGTTGTTGTAATTACAGCAGAAACTTTGGAAGTCCTCTCAGGAGTTACTGATTTGACACATCTCCATAGGAGACGATGGGAGAAGAGGACATTCAGTACTGTAGTGGATGTCCTGGAAAATGCTCCCTTGCTTTCTTCCAGTTTTACATCTGAAGAGAATAAAAGTAAGATTTAATTGAATGTGTTTTTACACAATTTTAGTTCAAATAATATCAGTGCTTCTTTACAGATGTTAAAAACCTAAACTTCACAGGAAATATTTAAAGTGATGTGAAAATCATTTAAAGACACCCTATTAACAAGCACTCAGAAAGTCCACTGTGCTGAAGAGAAAAGGTACATTTGAGACTGATGATTTCTTACTGGTCTTGTGTAATGGGAGCATTTTGAAGAGTAATGAAAACCACAATTAACATTAGCAACCCTAAAATGAAAATTATTGCCAAGAAGTTACACTACCATCCCCTCTCTTAACGTGCCATGAAGTGAATGACACTGAAGATATTGTACAAAACTCATCATCTGCAGAACTCAGTTGTTGAGATGTACCTGTTCTCCTTTTCTTTCTTCTCTCTTTATGTCATCACCCGCAGTGTGCTGTGAGAGGTCAGTGTGGTGCTTGCATTACAAGTTTTCTACCTTTGGTTTTCTCTTAACTATGATGTTTGCAATTCATGTTGCTAATGCATTTTCATCCGAGTAACTGTATTTAATAATGATTTTATACCTAGATGGTTCTGTTACAAACTACAGTGAAAGTAAGCCACGTAAGCAGTGGGCTAAGGAAACTCCTCAGACCCTGATGAACATCCTCAGTACTGCAGATGTCAGCTTAGCGTTTGAAACATACACAGTTTATAAACCAGGTAAATTCCTATGTTTATTGATAGGCCCTGTGTGTAGAGATTGAACACTGATGCACATGTCACAACAGACATGAACAACATACATTTTGTCTTAAACAGTAAAAGTTTAAAGAATTAAATGTGAACTTGAAAAAGAAAATCCAACTGAGAATTCCTGAGTGATTGTACATCCCCACTGCATCTATGAAAGACTTTCACTTGAAGAGTCTGACAGTTTTCACCCTGCCAAGTGGCATAATATCTGAGTTGTTGAGATGGAGTAATTAGGCTGTAGCCTCACCAGGGAATCCACTTTCACTGAGTCATACTGCTCTGTTTTGAATAGAGGATGGTAGGATGGTGGAAGGTAACTGTAGGCTGTAGATATGCAGAGCTGCAGGTGTAAATACTCTGTCTCCAGTTAAAGACTCGTAGAACATCCCAACTAGGAAGGGATCCACTTAGTCTGACAAGAATCACTTAGTCCAACTTCTGGCTCCACTCAAGAGCTCCCGAAAATCAGATCATACATCTGAGTTGTCCAGATGCTCTTTGAACTCCTGGCAGCTCAGGGCTGTGCCCACTGCACAGCCTATTCCATGCACATTGACCTCTGGGGCAGAGCCTTGTTGTGATATCCAACCTTAAGTTACTGGTGATAAACTGTGTTTATCTGTGTTCTTAAAATATTAAGAGCTTGTGCTGGAATCTGCAAAGATCTAGAGACAAACTAGAAAATGTTTTTAATAATTTTATTCTATAATTTGTGATTTTGGTTTATGCTTTCAAAGCTTCTGAAAATATACTAAGAGGTCCACTTTCTGATGAAACTGAAGCATCTGATGAACTAGATGGGGAACATGAAGATATTGCCACAGATTTGGAGAGACTTGAGCCTCGATCTGATGAAGACGATACGTATGTCCAAATGACATCTTATGTTTTTGTTTTGTTTGTTTCCTTGAAGCAATTAATATATATATATTCCTCTAATTAAAAAAAAAAAAGACAACTGTATTTTTCTTATCACTTAAGTTCATTCTTCTCTTACACAGTGATATTAGAATTTAGTAGCATTTGATATCAGAAATACTTTCTTTGCTATATTTATAGTTCTTGATGTTGAGATTCAAGAAGTTGCTCATTGTTAGATTATTTTTGCTGGTGACTTTGTAAGAAAGGAGATGAAATTAGATCTGCAGTAATGTGCAACCTTTTTCTTGCATGAGATATCTTTGTACTCTGACCTTGAAATCAGATAATCAATAGCAGCAATACCACTTGCTAGTAGTGTGTTTGCTGCATTGGTGTTTGATTTTCCACACTCCTTCATGCATAGTGCAGTGAAGTCACTTTTGCACCTACTTATTGAGATACATTTGTAGAAACTTCTAAACTTCTGTTTATGTTCCTGTTTTGGAAAAGCAAAGTACGTCAACACATTCTGAAGAAAAATATTGTATTTTACATGTGTGTGCATTTGGGGTGGGGTGTTCTTGGAGTGTCAGAATCTTAGTATATGTTGTTTATTTTGGTGGCACTTGGAGATGATCTGCTCAGGCAGGGATGTACTGCTGCAGTCCAACAGCAACCCTTCACATCAACACACATATGGTGTCTTGGTGTGTGCATCTGGCTTTGCAGCTGATAAAACTTATTTGGGTAAATTCAAAAGGGAGTCCCTGCCAGTTCCTTAATCACAGAAGTGCAGGGAATAAGTCTTTGGTGTTGATGTTTTTAACAGATTTTCTCCTACTGAGTATAATTTTAGGAAAAAAAAAAAAAATACAAAGCAGGTAAAGATTTTATGAGGTTGTACTTTTTTTGCTTTGCAAAATAACATTTTGAAATCTATTTTTAGGGACTTTGAGGAAGATGACCCAGACTGGGTGTCAGAACTGCAAACGATGTTGATACGCAGTGACTGAAAACCTGGAGTTTTTCTACAGTAACGAAAGTCAGTCTTGGCACTATTTGTAATCCCATCTGTTGTTATTAACAGTTGGTTATTAATAAAGTCACCTCAGTCAAAAAATTCCGAGTGTGCAAATTGTCTGTATGATGTAACTGAGAGGGAATTGCACGGCTTTGCGCAGGGCGGTGGTGCAGTCACCAGCCCTGGGCTGCTCAAGAGCCGCGTGGCACCGAGGGCCGTGAGTGGGGACGGGGGGACGGGTTGGTGGTCGGTCCGGAGGGGCTTACAGGTCTTTTCCAGTGCGGCACAGCAGGGTTAACAGGTCGTGTCTGGAGGGCGTTATGAGAAACATGTAGCTTTGCTAATTGAAGCGTTGTTCACACATCATTAATCTTACGATAATACCTTGGGCGAGCTTTTGCCTTAATTGCCTCCCTGACCAGTCTTATGTACATCATACGCACGTACGTAAACTCACCTGCTCCTAAACAAGGACTAACTTTCCCGTTCTGATACGGAGACAAACTAACGCTGTATCGTCAGCTCTTCCAGCCCGAAGCCGCTCCCAGGGCACTGCCCGCGGCTCCGGGCCCACCTGGAAGTCTCCTCCTCCTCCGCTTTCTCCTCCTCCTGCTGGCCGCGGTGCTCCGGAGCCGGCTGGGCGCACGCAGGTACCGCGGTCCGCCGTTCGGGCCGAGCCCGACAGCGGGGCACGAGCCCAGGGAAGAAGGGCCCGCGCGGCGCGCCCCGTCGCCATGACGACGGCACCACAGCGGGCGGGAGGGAGCGATGGGGGAGCCGTGGCCGCCGAGCTGCCTCCTCGCAGCTGGTGTCCCCGGCAGGGAGCTCCCTCAGTGCCGGCCTGGGGCCTCGTCCCGCGGAGAGGTGGCTCGGGGGGGAGTGGGAGGCGGCGCGAGTGGGTGCGAGGGCCCCATGGATTGAGGGAGCTGCCTGCTGTTCCTGACAGGAACAGCGAGGTTGTCTGCAGACCTCCCCTGGCAACTCGTAGTCCAGCTAATACATACAACTTCAAGGCGTGTGCGTCTATTAGCCGTGTTAGTTTGCTTGCACATGGGTTGCAAATACCTTTGGCAGTCATTGCCAGGAGTGCAAGCTAAATCAACAAGCAGCGTGTTCTGTGTTTATTTTGCCCGTTAAAGAACAAGTGTGTAGAATTGGTAACCTCTAAATATCATCAAACTCCCAAATCATTAGTCTTACATTGTATTTTACGCTGCCTTTTCTTCTTTCTTTCTTTTAATTTTAGTTTGCTCTGGGAGCATGCTGCAAGTCCTGTTTAATATCTTTATTGATGATTTGGATGAGAGGGTTGAGTGCATCCTTAATAAGTTTTCAGATGACACAAGATGGCTGAAAGTGTTAATCTGCCCCAGGATAGCAAGGCCCTACAGAGTGTCACTGGGCTGAAGCCAATGGCATAAGGTTCAACAGGACCAAGTGCCAGGTCCTGCACTTTGGCCACAACAACCCCAGGCAACGCTACAGGCTTGGAGCAGAGTGGCTGGAAGACTGTGGAAGAAATAGACCTGGGAGCGTTGGTTGATGCTTGGCTCAACATAAGCCAGCAGTGTGCCCAGGTGGCCAAGAAGGCCCTTGGCAGCCTGGCTTGTATCAGAAATAGTGCAGCCAGTTGGAGCAGGGAGGTGATCGTCCCTCTGTATTCAGCTCTGGTGAGGCTGCACCTTGAATAGAGTCACAGAATCACAGAATCATAGAATGGTTTGGGTTGGAAGGAACCTTTAAGATCATCTAGTTCCAACCCTCTGCTGTAGGCAGGGGCATCTCCCTCTAGACCAGGTTGCTCAAAGCCTCATCCAGCCTGGCCTTGAATGCTTCCAGGGAAGGGGCACGTGCAGCCTCTCTGAACAACCTGTTCCAGTGTCTCACCACCCTCACAGTAAAGACTTACCTCTTAATGTCTGGTATAAATCTATTCTTTGCATACTGTATTCAGTTTTGGGCCCGTCAGTACAAGTAAGATATTGAGGCCATGGAGCGTGTCCAGAGAAGGGCAACAAAGCTGTGGAGGGTTTGAAAAACAAGTCTTATGGGGAATAGCTGAGGGAACTGGGATTGTGGAATCTGGATGAAAGAAAGCTCAGGAGAGACCTTAATGCTCTCTACAGCTGCCTGAAAAGAGGTGGTGGTGAGGCAGGAGTCAGTCTGTTTTCCTGTGTAACGAGCAATATGCTTTAAGTTGCACCAGCAAAGTTTCAGCTTGGATATTAGGAAGAACTTCTCAGAAAGAGTGGTGACGTGGTGATGCATTGAAGCACATTGCCCAGGGAGGTGGAGGAGTTGCCATCCCTGCAGGTGTTCATGAAACGTGTGGATATGGCACTGAAGGACACTGGGTGTCATGGGAATGGACTGATGGTTGAACTGGATAATCTCAGTGGTCTTTTCCAGCCTTAATGATTCTACAGTTCTGTGTTTCAATCTTTCCTTTATTTGATGCCTATTGAAAGTGCAGGTCCACAATCGTTTGCAGACTTCCAGAAGCTAACAGTTGGAGGCAGCATCAGCAGCAGTAATAAAAATATGATATAAATGTGCAAAAAGTTCCAGCACTTTAAGACAGTCTCTATTTTGGCAGTCCATACTCAGATGTTACAGCACTGACTACATGCTACACTAACTTGGGTATTCATTTTTTTTTTAGCTACTGCTTTAAGACAGAGACTTCATGGATAAATATGAAATCCTTACAAAAATTGGAGAAGGATCTTTCGGCAAAATATTCTTGGCGAAAGCAAAAGTGGATGATGAGCAATGTGTTATCAAGGAGATTGATTTAGCTGAGGTAAAACAGCAAAACCTGGATGACAACAGTAGTTACTGACCAAATTGTGATGATTGCATTCTGCTAGCATGTGTACCTGGGTGAAGTCTTACCACGTTTGTAGATGTTCTTCAAAGGCATAGTTAAACTTTTTGGACTCTGTGCTCTTTGACTGCCATTTTAGTGATTTTTCAAATTTAGAGTAAATATTTTGGTATTAACACTTTGTTTTTCACTGTGTGTGTTTTTTTTTTTCTTTTCAAAGCTGTGCTTACTAAACATTATAGTACCTGTTTTAACTTTTATAGCAGATGATTCAGCTACAATGACATTTTGCTAATGAATTGACAAGGCACGATTCTGTGACACATTTCTATAAACTTTTCCATTTCCTTTTTTTTGTTCCCACATCCATGTTTTCAGACATGAGTAATTTACAACGGAGCCCTTCCAATTCTCATTTATTGTGTGTGGCAGTTTGGTTTGTCTAACTGTATAACTCAATTTGTATAACTCAAAATGTCCATTCTGTAGTTGTCGTCTCAGCTACTTGGTTGGGCTCCGGCCTGCTTTAGAAGAACAAGGATGCTGTTTGTTGTGCTTGAGAGTTCTGTTCTAGACTGAGGTGAATTGGGCCATAGAAGTGCCGTGTTTCTTTCTGTGGGCTGAAAGAGTGGCTAGCTCAGGTATCAGAGTAATGTCCTCCTATATCTACTTCCAGAAGGACAGGCAGTTGAACTCCTAGGAATTTCAACAGTCATTTTCATTGGGTATCTACGTGCTTGTGACAGGTCTTGTGTTCTGGGCCACACCAGTGAATTTATGGTGTGTGAGAGAACCATAATAGAAGAAAACTGGTATGTATGAGGCCTAGAAAGAACTATATAACCTGCAGATTCAAGCCCAGAAAAAAAAATTGATTTGATTTGGTCATCTCTAATCTTGTATTTCAGTGTATGCAAAATAGAAAAAAAAAAATAAGTAAATATTTTCTTGTAGTTTATCCCAGCTGTTAAACAAGAGCTGGTTACAGAAAATTCTGACTCTGAAGTTGTAAAATTTGTCTGATGTTGTAGAGTGTGTTTCTTTCTTTTATGAGCTGTGTCTCTGTGTGTCTTTTCGCCTTCTGACTTTTGAATCTTTTAGGGTTACATTTCAAATTTGTTTCTTAAGAAGGAGAGTAGGAGACTTATTTTTACAAATGAAATAGGGCACTTTAATAGAATCTGTGTACTCTGAAGCATGAGTTTTAAAGGAATTATATTGGTAAAAATGTAATTGCAACCAAATATGTCTTCTCTGAACTGTAAAAGGGTAAAGATTTTGCTTGAAGTGTTGCAAGAACTCATAACAGTTATAAAACAGAACTTTATTTTTTTGAAATTACCCTTATTAAGAATACAGAATCACCCTGACCTGTACTCTTCAAATATATAAAGAAAGTTTAACTTTTTGTTAACTTTGTTAACTTTTTCATCAACTTAGTAGTAGCATTTGTGCAAAAAGTTTAAAGCTGTCCATTTGCCCATGTGTAAGATGTCATCATTTGGTAACGTTCCAGTGCATTTCCAAACATCTGCTGCAAATGGGTATTTCAGACTGTGTGTACATCGTGTTTTATAATGTTTCTGCATCACCTTGTGGCAGTCTTCCTGTATTGGTAGGAATGCTTTGACACCAATGTAACTGCTTTTGGAAAGAGTTAAGTATATCACTGCTAGCATACAGTTTCTTAATTCTTTGTAGATGCCTGTGAAAGAAAAAGAAGCCTCTCAGAAAGAAGTCATTCTCCTGGCCAAGATGAAGCATGCAAATATAGTAACCTTCTATGCTTCTTTGCAAGGTTTACTTTTAACATTTGTGTTTTATTTGTGACCGTAGGGGTGAAAGGCAGCAAAGTCTAGTTTGTTCTTACTGACCAACAGGAAGTGTGGGCCCAGCACCTTATTTATCAGTAGGGACCACTTCCAGCTCCTAAAAATGAACACAAGGTATCAGCTTTAGTCACTACTTTCTCTCTTCACTGAGTGGATGGGACATAAAGATCAAATGCTAGATCCTGGGATCTCTGCATTGCTTTAGCTGAACTTTAATCTTGACCTTCAGCAGAGATCCAGAGTTCTGTCAGACTTCCTCAGGATCTTCAATAGAAGAGTGCTTTGGAGTACTGCAGGAAATAGGTCCTGTGGGCCTTTGACTTATGGGATACCACACTCTGAGGTATCCCTAAGCTTGCAGAAATGTTTTAGCTTAGAATTTGAGGCTGAAAGAGAGAGCAGAGTGGCTTTCAGACAGAGGTTGATGCTGGATTTTGGAGGGCCTGTGAAGAAAAATGAAGGCTGGTGTCCATAGGGAGCATGCAGTTAATGTATGATGCAGGTAGAACTTACTGTACACCCTGAGGCCCCACAGTGGGGTTGGGGCTCCTTGAGGTCCACAATCTCACAGGCTTTTGGGTCTGGGACCAGAACTGGGGCTGTAAGAGGTTAACACAGGGTGGGGTTTGGGAGTGTGTTGAACACTTGCCAGATTTCAGGAGCAAAAGCCTTACAAGTCAGTGCTAGCTGCAGTTTACAGCTATTGCTTGGGAATGGAAACAAATGAGGACCCAGGTTTACTTTCACAGAATCACAGAATCACAGAATTGTAGGGGTTGGAAGGGACCTCCAGAGATCATCGAGTCCAACCCCCCTGCCAAAGCAGGTTTTTTGGGTCCTTCCCTTTTGAGATGGGGACTAGAATCAACCAAGATTTGTGTCTCCCTTTTCATTTTAGAGCTGGAAGTGATCCCAAGTACTGGTGAAAGCTCAGCTTTGATGTAAGGTTAGTACTGGGCAGTGCAACAATCTTTGTCCCAGGTTATTCTGTGATTCCTAGAGGCCCACAGGGAGAAGGGGGTTTGTGCTGGAGGAAGTGAAGCTTCCGTGGCTCAAGTTATTCTAGGATTTTCTGAGTTCACTGTAAGAAGAGAACCAGTAGCCACAAAGAGGATTGTCCTCTCCTGAATATTTGTTTGAAGATGGGTACCTGTTTCTAACAAAGACTGGGATCAGGCTGTGAGCTGGGACAAGGTAAAGGCCTGCCAACAATCCAGGACTTGTGGGATTATGTTACTGTTGGTTACTAAGACAGGAATCTTTTCCATGTCAACAGTAAGCTCACGATTACTCATAATTCGCAGTTATTCATAATTACTGTATGTGTCCATCCCTGATTTTAATGCAGTTTCTACATGCAGTCGTGTTTTCCTGTTGTGAGGGAAGGAAAGCTTTATAAAGTCAGAGTTGACATAGGACTGAAAGAGGTGGAAGGAAGGCTGTTCTTCATAAAAGCTAACTCCCTATATTTATTTTTCCTGCTGACATCTGTCATAAGGAATGCCTTGTGGAATGAATGCTGTACTTACTGCTTTTGTTCAGATTGTTCTATGTGATCAGGATTATAAATATTTCAGGGAACATGCTCATCTGGTAGTCCTCTGGACTCCAGAAAAATCAGAACAGGGTGAGTTCTCATAGTAAACAGCACCTGGTGTTTATTTCTGCTATTGAACTGCTGCTTTCAGCCTTTTCCCTAGCACTGACTGTATACTTAATTTTTATTGGGAAATTAGCATTAGCTGTAAGAATATCTGGCTTCTTCTATCATCAATGTGGTTTCTGGAGGTGTATCTCATGTATTTAATGTACTGGTGAATCTCCATTTAAATAAATGTTCATGTCTTTCTTACTTTTGCATCAGGTGACACTGGAGGTATCAGTGTTTAATCAGTCACTCTTTGAAATGGAGGAGTAGGTAGAGGATTAATTCTCTTAATAGAAAGACTGTAAAAACGTGAATAATTTATTGCTGTATTAATGAGTAATAAAGGAAAAAAATATACTTTTCCTTTCAGAAGAAAACAAGCTGTATATTGTGATGGAATACTGTGATGGTGGAGATTTGATGAAGAGGATAAATATGCAGCACGGAGTACTGTTTGAGGAGGACCAGGTGAAACCAGTTAACCAAGGACATATTATGTCAAATGTTGTTTGAATTGTCCAGTCCTAGCAACTGTTTCTGTTATGAACTGTTACAAAAACTGAACATTTCTTCAATGAGTTTAATGGCAGTTCAGAGTTTGCTTTTTACACTATTTTAAGATCTTACATGAATTTATTAACAGTATTTTGATGCCAATTTTATTCCTCTTCCCTTTATTCCTTCCATCGTGAAGGCACATTCAATTTAAATAGGCAGTATACCTGCTCAGCCAGGTTTATTTGACAAGGTGTTTTGGAGTTACAAGGGGATGTATGATGTATGAGTTCCTCATTCTGGTGTGATTTGCATCATGACATATCGTGCTTTAGAATGAAGTCAGTGGTAAATCTCCCATTCATTTTATTTGGATTAGGTGTTTTCTGGTGCCATTTAAATTGTTAAGCCAACCCAGAGAAACAAGGCCAGAATTCTGATTGCTTTTGGAGCATATTCACATGTGTTTTAATTTGTAAATAGGTGTGTTTGAGTGGTATTGCAGCTCACAGAAACAGAAGTTCCCACTGCTTAGCCTATTCCTTGATCTTTGAAGTAGCTTTAAGCATTCTGAGGGAAATCTTCCTACATATTGGACTTCGTATATTCAACTCGTTATTTAATTGCATGTAGTCTTCTGCTCTTGCAGTTACAATGAAAACTTGTCTAGATACTGGATAGACATATCTAACCTGTTAGCAGAAATGTACTCTAAATTTTATGACATTACTTCTTGCTTAAATTGGAAAAGAGGAACTCCGTAGCGTAGTATTTATGTATTTATTGTATCAGCTCCACTCAGGGAATCATCTGTGAAACAGAAAGCATTTCTGCATAAAAGATTATATAAACTCAATTAAAGTCTTCCAGGACCTTCAGTTTTCCTGAAGAGAGAAACATGTAAGCAAGTCTTACTTTTGTTTCTGAATTAAATCCAATGGCTCTTATTCAATAAAAACCATATGTAACTGAAGTTGGATATAGACTTAAGAACTATCTGGGGTTAAGAATAAACTTGTGTGATTACTTAATAAACAAGTTCTTTCATAGCTCTGTTTTTTAACCACATTTCAGACCTGCTTCCTCTTGTTTCTTTATCTCCAGACTACCTTTGGTACAACTACAAGTATTATAACTGCATGGTATGGTATCCATTGCTGAGGATTTGGAAGACACTACCCAATTCTGCCTTAGTTGTTGTTGTTAACTCATTTCTAAAGATCTAGTCCTCTTTCTCTCCTTTGACATAATTATTCAGTCCACACTCAAGTGATGGTCTTGTCACAGTCAATGAAAACTTGACTGGGTTAAAGAAAGTGGGAGCAGGTATTTATATCCATCTCTTGATAGCACTGAAAAAAAAAGGAAAAGTCTATGGCATTGATTTTAGTCATTTGAAGGTATTATTTCTTACTGTTTTCTATCATCTGTTCTCTATGTATTTTAGATTTTGTTGTTGTCTTTGTTGTATATATTTCATCCACACAGATTTACAGATATCTGTCCATTTATCTTTTACTGCAGATTTTGAGTTGGTTTGTACAGATCTCCTTGGGCTTGAAGCACATTCATGACAGGAAGATTTTACACAGAGACATAAAATCACAGGTAGTAAAAGTGAGATGGGAAAAGGAGTGATTTTATCTTGTGAAAAATATGCTCAAGAAGCTCTGCTTTGTTTCATTTTCGCCTATCAGTTTCTTCTTCTTTTTCAGAACATTTTTCTTAGTAGTAACGGGAAGGTAGCAAAGCTTGGAGACTTTGGCATAGCAAGACAGTTGAATGAGTAAGTACCTTTTGTATTTTGTATGAGATCTACACCAAGTATGACTATTTTTTGAATGTTTGGAATGTAACCTGCATGGGAAAATTGTCTGTGAATTGTGCTTGGTCCAGAATATGAAGAGTCTGTCACTGTATTTTTTCCCATTATCCTGTAATGTGCCATGCTGCTTGAAGCCACAGATCCTTATAACTCTCATCATAGGCTGTTTCTCATCCTATGCTACATAGAGTGGAGAAGCCTCAATCTTTCACTGTTTGTTAAAAAAGGACTAGAACCCCTCCCCTGAAACGTTGAATTCAATGGCATATCATGGCTTGCATCCATGTGGCTGAACTCTGTTCTCTCAAAGACAGTGGTCTGTCTTATCTTTACTGACTCAGGACCAGCGTGCCTTAACCTATGTAGTAGCCAGACGTTGTTTAGGGAAAGGCTAATGCTAATTAAAAAAAAACAAACAGTGATTGAATTTGGTCCCTTTTTTAGCCTCTTGATAGCTCTGACCTTGGCAGGATCTTTTGTTAATGATGTTCTGGTGTTTCATTAGGTATCTTATGGAAAGATAATTTCCTCTGTTCATCATTTTGTAGGTTATCCTTCTGTTATCAGTCCTTAGGTGCTTTGTACTCCACCTGATGCAGTGTACTTGTAACTTCTCCCGTCCCTAAACTAAATTAATCTAAGCTTAATCATGTTACTGCATACGCAATAACAGTAAAGGGAGCAGATAGCTTTAGCCAGCATAGACAATTTGTGCATTCTCTTCAGATGTACTTAGCTGTGTTCATGTGTGAAATCCCTTTATGTATTCGTCACATGAATGTGCAGCACATGTAATGTCTGTCAAGGCCCTGTCAGATTGGCTTTGGACTGAAGCCTGCATAACCTTGTAAGTTTGTGGTACATCAGAGCTGGGAGGTCTCAATGAGAGCTGGAGTATAATGAACTTATTTTGGTAGTATCTTCATCTAAGCTTCCTTATCTGCAGGGATATGCTGTGCCATTATTTTAGCTGCAGTCTCCATCATCACTAATACCTTTGTGATGTGCCCCTTTTTGAAGCACAAACCCACTGGCAAAGCCTCAGCTCCTCACATGTAAAATACGAGTGCTGGAAACGCCTACCTTCAGAAGTGTTCTGAGGATACCTGCTTTGAGGCTTGGTCCTACATGGTGGATAGGAAGTAAACTCCAGAACTGGAGTACTGAATAGGCATCAGGGACTATAGGGACAAAAATATTTGGGGCTCTGTAGAACCTTTTCTCGTATAACAAGTGATTTTAATTTCTCAGTCTCTTTTCTCCCCCTCATCTGTGACACACAAAGGCATTTTCATCTCCATTCTCCACTTCCAACTGCCAGATAGTGTCCAATATTTCTACTTTCAGTTCAGTGTCCTTGCCACCTCTGGCACTCAGAGTTCTCTCTAAAAAGTGTCACTTCCAACTTTAATTGACATCTAGTGCACAGTGAGAGCAGTCACAGTCTGTGAGTACCTTCTGACTTCCCAGCGACTCTTGATGACACCCACAGAATAGATGTCTGAAAGAATGTGAAATGAATCCAGGTGGTGTTATTTGGCTATTTACCTACATAACAAGTCAGCAGCAAAAATGGAAACAGAATTCACATACTTCTGCTTTAGTTTCTGAACAACACTTCCTCCTTTATCTTGCTTGCATGACTGACTACCACTTAAATATTCTTACTTCAAAGTCAGAGACTTCTCATATTTTGATGTGTGGTTGATGGCTTTCAGAATTTTATGCTAATGATAATAATTCCTTGAAAATGTTGATTACAGTGCTGATAAAAAGTGGGGGAAAGACAATTCTTGTGCTTTCTGTTGAAATGCAAGCACTGTATTAAAATAGTTGGTCATTTTTACAGAGAAATGGGAAATGCTTCTGTTTTTCTTGGAGTGTTCCATTGAGCTATTACTCAACCACTTTGAGAGCAGCTATGATATGCCCCGTGGAGTCTAACTCAATTGCTTGCAGACATTTTCAGTGTATAAGCCTTTTTGTTTATTGTGTTTCATTAGCACGACAGAGTTTGCCTGTACATGCGTAGGGACCCCCTATTATCTGTCACCAGAGATCTGTGAAAATCGACCATACAACAATAAAACGTAAGTCTCTGTTTTCTTCATATGCTTGTGCATGAGGGTGTGCAGTCATGAGATGACTTATTTTCATCATGTTGTGGTTCAAATTAGTATTTCTGCAGGACACCAGAAACTTCACACGTATCAGCTAGAGATAGCTTTGCTCTTCAGTCTTGGTAGGAACATTAAGCAGACATAGTTTGTAGCATGTGCCTTTTCCAATGATAAGGATAGTACCTGGTTAGGTATCACAGAAACATTGGTGCTACAATTAAAAAAAAACCAAACAAATGTAAGGTTTATATTTTCAGTGCATCTTAAGAAGAAAAGGTGCACCAATACTCATGTCTGATGGAGTAATGTTAGTAAATCTGTGGCACAGATAACCTCTCTAGAGAGGTTTGCTGTCTTCTGGAGGCCTGCATTGAGAACATTGAGAAGAGGCTATCAGGATATCAGGTATGATAAAGGTAGCTGACTGCTATCCCTGCCTGGTCTTTCAAGCTAGGTTGCATGAGACTGCAACCAGGATATTAAAAAATATCAAAAAAATCTTTGCATCCCTTGGGAAGGTGTTGAAGGAATCAGCAGTGCAGGTGGTGTTCTCCTCAATCCTTCCATTTGAAGACTGGGATGTGAGCAGGAGGAGGATGGATCTTTGCCTATGTTGGCAATTCTGCCTGTGGCAAAGGCGTTGGAACTTGATGATCCTTCTGGTCCTTTCCAATCCAAGGCATTTTTTGATTCTAAGATTCTATAATTTTGAGAGCTGAAAAGAGATACTGATTACACGTAAATAAATATTAGTGGCTTTTCATGAAACTTTAATTCCTTTTGTTCACAGAGATATTTGGTCTCTTGGCTGTGTGCTCTATGAGCTATGTGCACTGAAGCATCCTGTAAGTACCTTATAATTAGATCAGTATCATATTATTAAAAAGAAAGTGGACAGCCTAGAAAATCTGTAGAAATAACAGCATTAATTAACTATTGGAATTGATATTTAAGCATGACTGTCAGTGTTTAGTTTTTTGTATTGTGTCTGTTTTGTGCTTACCAAACTACAATGTATTGTGATTGAGTCAGCTGAGTTGCATCAGTAATGAAAAATCAGCTTGTACCTTGGTTCCTGAGAACACAGAACACAGAGGATAAGTTGTGTGAACTGAGGCTTTGAAGCTGAATGCTGTGAAGACAATATGTATGCAGGTCTCTGCTTAACAGCTTTTGGCAAAATTAATCTTGGGTATTTCTGGAAAAGTTATGTCTGTGTTGCAGTATAGCAGTAGAATATGAAAAACTTCTTCTGAGTACCAAAGCTAGCACACCTCCTGAGTCACGCAGCAGAAATAAGGAACATAACCAGAAAATCCATTAAAAAAGTGCCTATGTTAATTTTTCTTCAGCAAACTACAGATGATGAGGACTGATTTCTGAAGAGATTGCACAGCACAGAGCTGCTGTCAGCAAGTGCCTTTTTTCATGTCGAGATATCGGCAATAGGGCGACAAAGAACAGTCTCAAGTTTCACCAGGGGAAGTTCAGGTTGGGTATTAGGGAGAAATTCTCCTTTGAAAGAGTGGTCAGGCACTGGAATGGGCTGTCCAGGCAGGTGCTTGTGTCACCGTCCCTGGAGATGTTCAAGAAACGTGTAGATGTGATGTTAAGGAACATGGTTTAGTGGACAGCACTGGCGGTAGGAGGATGGTTGGGCTAGATGATCTTAGAGGTCTTTACCAACCATAATGATTCGATGATTCTAAGGCATCACTTCCAACCAGCAGTACTGTCACCTTTTTATGTTTTTCACTGATCAAGTTTGAAGGCAATAGTTTGCATCAGCTGGTGCTGAAGATCTGCAGAGGATATTTTCACCCAGTGTCTCCCAGATATTCGTATGATCTGAGGATGTTAATTTCCCAGTTGTTTAAAATATCTCCGAGAGATCGACCATCTATCACTTCTATTTTAAGGAAGCCCTTCTTGCAGAAGCTTGTTCTAAGACATTTGCCCCCAGAGGTGAGTACCTTGTAATGCTGCTTGGCAAGAGGAGAATGTATATCATAGTATAAAACAGTTCTGTCAGATACTTACGTTGCTTATTGTTAACACAGGAAGAACTCAGTCACACTGTGATACAGAGAAGGAAGCCTTCAGGATCACTGCCTGAAGTCAAGATGATGCCAGGTAATGGTAATGTTACTTAACATTGGTTCTACACTAGTGTTTGTTAGTTACGATGTGGTTGATGGTGACAACTTTCACCAGCAGTCTTTATTGCACATTTGGATATAAGAGTTTCAGCCAAATCTGAAAATAATACAAGGAGAGAACTGAAATAGCAGAAACATTCACCCTAGACAGTGCATCGCTATCCTACCTGTTCAGGAAGAGACCACAGATCATTTGCAGCACTCAGTTAGAAAAGCTGCCACGTGGTTCTGGTTTACACAGGTCTCCCTTTTATTTATTGTACTTCCTTGCAAAACTGATTAGTAAAATCCACGTTACGTGAGTGTGACAAATTACACTGTTTCAAAAACATGTCATTCTAAGAATGAAAAGCAGAGTGCTTGGGAACTGAGAGGTATGATAAAATATGATTCTGTGATGAAAGGGTGTAAGGAGTGTTTATTATTTCAGCCTGTCAGTGTTAGGTTTATACACCCTACTATGCTTTCCCATAGTAGGATCGTGTAGAAAGCAACCATAGTAACCTTTTAATATTTTATTTTTAAAAAGTTTGTAAGCTTCAAAGAAGGAGAGTTCAGGACCAAATTCTTCCAGGATCTGAAATGGTAGCACCTATGACAACGCAGGAATTATATCAAAGAAATGAATGGAAGCCTTCTTCAAGAGGGCAACAGCTTCAGGTACTGTTCATCCACATTCTCGTAACATTTAATTATCGTAGAAGATAAACTCCTAATGTTAGAAGAGGTCCTATTAAATTCAACCTAATGCCTGCATCCATCATCCAAAAGATGTTAAACTCTATCTGGCCCAGTATTGACCCCTGGGGTGCCTTGCTGGCTAGTGACATCCAGCTGTGTAGCATGATCAGCTCGGAATCAACATGGTTCAGCCAGTTTTCAATCTACGTTGCTACTCCTCCAGCACATTCTTGGTCAGCATTTCTGTGAAGATGTTCTGAGAGACAGTACAAAAAGCTATTCTAAAGTCAAGGTAGGCAATAGCTGCTGCTCTCCCTTTGTCTACCAAGCCAGTCATTTAATTGAAAATGGCTATAAGGTCAGTCAAGTGTGATCTTCCTTTTGTAAATTCATACTGACTACTCCTGATCACCTTCTTGTCTTTTGTGTGTCTGTAAATGATTTCCAGGGTAAATTGATGCATCACCTTGCCAGGCATCAAGGTGGGGCTGCCTGGCCTGGAGTTTCCTTCTTCCTGCTTTTTTTGCAAGATAGGAATGACATCTGCTTTCCTTCAGTCCTCAGTCTCCTTTCATGTATGGTCTCATCTATGTTCAGTTTCTGATGTGTTCTCTAGTCTGGTCCTCTTCCACCAAGAGTGTGTCTTCCTTGCTTCAAACTCTCTCCCTGGTCGTAAGGCCCTGGGATTCCTTAAGGCCACGCTTGCTGCTGAAGTCTGAGACAAAGAAGGGATTCAGTACCTCAGCCTTTTTCATTCTGTAACTGTTCTGTATCACCAGGCATTCACTGCTCACAGTTCTCAGTTTTCCTATTTGGATGGTCTAATTTAGTTTTCCTGTTGGCATTAGATTGCCATACTCATGGACACCATACTCTAAAATTTCCTATAATGAGGCACAATATGTACCCTTTCTGAAGTTACCTCTTTTTTAGGAATATTACTGGCAGTGGAAAATGTTTCTTCTTACATAGATATGAATTTGTATTGTGCATTAATCTGCACTATGCTGTGGGTAGAGGTGCAAAACAGGGAGGAATAGATAACGTATTTACTGGCTAAGCAAGGGACCCTGAGATGCTTTTTTCAGCTTTTTTCTCATACACCATGTGATGTTTTTAGTCTCCCACTGTGGAAAAGTTCATTGAATGTCTTGTTACACTTCTTTTATATCATGCAGCAGCATGTGACCTTTCTCCTGGTTGTTCTTATGAGATGGAAAAGGCAGTCTTGTTGCATGTTAGAGATGCAGGAAAGTTGCATCACAGAAAGGACTTTGAGAAATGAGAAGCTAACTCCCACAGGCAGATAATCAAAGAGATGCTGACACGAGCAGCACAGTGCTCCCCAGAAAACATTAGTCTGTGTGTTTACTGCCCCAAATTATGTCCCACGTTCCCACTGCTGTCACATATAAGACTGTCCTGGAATTATCTCAGTGTTCTGGACTTTGGAACAGTGGTGTGGCTCAAACACAACTAAGTTACAGGGCACAAAGCCCTGACTCACACAACATGGGCTGCTGTCTAATCACAGGAGATGATGGAACAGGGAAAAGAGGAGGACAGTAAGATTACATACACCCTGTGTGTAACAAGTTAGGAAGTTTGTGAAACGATTTTGAGAACTACACTAACTGTACTTACACTAATTTGTACAGACTGTATTAAAATGCAACTCAGAATGGGGAGGATAGGAAATAGTTCAAACTGGTATTGATTAAATTAACAATTAAATTAACATCCTTTATTATATTTTCAGCCACAGAGCTCCAGATTTAAGATGGCAGAAAGGCCAGAAAACATTAGAGTACATGGCCATTATGGTCATTACTATGATAAACTCAACAATTTGCAAAGGAAAATTAATGCATGTTATGACCTTTCTCACATCAGCCAAAGAGCAGAGGAATATTATAAACTAAAAGGAGAAATTGCACCTCCACCCCCCCCACCTGAATGGTAAACCTTTCTCATTATTTCCTAGTAGTGAACTGTCACTCATTATTTTGAATAATCAGTCTTCCTCTTTAGGTAGCACTGTAATTATAGCTTATGTAATCTTTCCTTCTCTGCTTGGTCTTTGATAGTTTTTGCACAAGTTTATTGTACAACACTGGAACTCCTGCTCTTCTCAATCCAGAAGTTCCTTCTGAATGTATTGTCCTGATGTTTGAAATTTCATTATCAAAATGTCTCCCATCCCTCATCGAGTGAAGAGTAAAACACAACCTTTCTGTAGACTTTCTGACCATATCAAAGATAAACATTGTCTTTTCCTCCCATCAGAAACAGAAAGAACTAAAGAGCAAAAGCTGTTCTGTACTGAAGGGGATGGAGTGGGAGACAAGCCATGCAGATGTTGTTTTTTTGGAAGCCTATATTTTGGCTTTAGATATAAAGACCTGCTCTTCAGCGGTCTGTGGATTTCAAAGCCTTTCTTTTATAAAGCAGAGGTAGAAACTTTCTGAGAGTGCCTGTCCATTGACCACTTCTTTTGAGGATCAGGAAAAATGTCTTTATTCTCATTAACATTTTCACATACCGTTTCTCAAATAAAAGGTGAAAAGGTACTCTGCTCTTCAGAAGGCTAATATAACCAAAATAATAGGAAAGGAGCTGCCCAAAGAGCATATGTTTTCTTTTTGCTATTATACTGTTGTCTTGTATTTATACATATTTTATCCATACGTATACATTCATGTTGTACAAACAGAGCTGGCAGAGTATTGCTCGTGCACAAGATAGAATCTGTGAAATAAAATGCAGGATAAGGATGTCACTTTCTTCTCTCAGGCCTGCAGAATACCTTCAAAGGCGCTTTGAAGCCCAGCAGTACAAGATTAAAGTGGAAAAACAGCTGGTGAGTGAATACTGAATCACAGAACAAAATCAGTGAAAGAATCTGAATGAAAATCCTCAAGATGTACTGATGTCTTTCTAATAGACTGTAACAGTGACAGGTAGAAAGTTCTGCTCTAGCAAATTTGTTGATCTGCTCTACAGTGGTCATCTTCAGGTTTTATTTTTAATGTAAAACTGTAGCAATGTAAAATTCTACAATGACTCTTACTTCCAAAAATACACACTTGCCTTACTGCACTCCTCAGTGGAAGAGAGAAAGTGAACTCAGTGAGCACTGAAGAAAGGATTCTAAGTGAAAATTCGTTTGCTTTGGGGTTTATTTGTGCCACCACAGGGGCTGCGGCCATCCTCTGCTGACCCATATCATGACCAAATGCAGATGCAAAACATAAATGAGGAGCATCTCAAAATGCATCAGCAGGACACGTCTAGAAAGAGTGAGATGAAAGAACAGGTAAAGAAGATGTTTTTCTTAGTTGTTTAAAGCTGTTTCCTTTCACTCCGCAACAGTGGTGTTCTTTATATTGCTGTTTCTCTATGCCTTTCTAATAAATATGCATTCTAACTTACTGTTGTTTAATAGGAGTACCTGAAGCAGTTGCAGAAAATTCGTGAAGAATACCACAGCAATATGAAAGAACTCAGATTAAGGGCAAGGGTACACCAGGTAGCAAAGCAGTCATATTTCCTTTCCTATCAAACATACATGCAGTCGTATTTCCTTTTCCTTTTTTAAGGTAATACACTTAATTAGTAATTGAAATGAAAATTTTATCAATATGTTCCTTAGGAGAATCAAAAAATACAAGATAAAACCTTTCTGGTGAGTCAAGGGAAAACTGAAGACCACTCTGAAACCAAAGATACAGCTGGAATAAGAGGAGAATCACTTGAGGTATGAGTACCATCCTATAGTCTATACAGAACTTTTTATTCATAGTCTTTGATTCACCCTCTGGGACTATTATGGAAAATGTAAAGTCTAAATCTTAACTGATATTTGTACCACATATGAAAATATCCCTTGATTTCCTTCATGAGCAGCCTGGAAAGCTTATTTGGACTAGTTCTAATTCCGTTTGGTCACTTCTTGTTCCCCCTATTTAATTATGGAAAGGTACTTCCACCTCATTTCTTCTTGTGGTGTGTTTCTTCTCCTTCCTTTCTGAGTGAAGGAAAGAGGAAATCACTCACTGTAAATCTTCATTAGAATGCTGTACAGAAGATGTATTAAATAATTGCTCAGAGTAGAACATGAATACTTCTCCTGTAAGGAAGATGCTCACTTGGGGAGTAAGTTACAATCCAGTTTTATGTGGATTTCTTACCTGAACAGAAATTTGGGAGAAGTGGTAATAAGAAGCGGAGCCAAAGATTTCCATCTGCAGGAATTCATCACTTCTTCCTCATCAGATACTTCCAAAACAGCCGCTGGAATGGAGCTTCAGAATCATTCCACTTTTACTTTGAAATACTGCTGTGGTGAAAACCAGATGAGGTTTCCAGACCACAAGTGGTTCTACTGCAGTAATTTCATGAGTGAAACACATGAAAGCGTCAACTTGTCAAATTATTTATCAGAGCACAAACTGATGGCTAATTTTGAAAGGAGAACAGCCCTTGTGTAGGTGGTCGGATTCTTAAGCCAGAATTTGTTTCATGTGGTGTAGGACTTCGTGCAGTGTTGAGTAGCAGGGGGCAGATTTCCACATAAAATGTGACAGACATTGCTACCCACTGCAGTGATTCTTCAGTGATTAATGGATCCTAATTCCAGCTTTTACTAAAATGAAATCCCTTGCTGGGATAGGCTAGGCTATAGGCAACTCCAGCCACAACTGGACAGAAAAGTAAGTTTTATGCCTGTTTGATGTCACCTTAATTTGTGGGCACTCCATCAACTGGAGAAACTCCACAGATGTTTCTAAAATGTCGGTGAGTTGTGGCTTCTCCTGATGTTGATGACGTGCAGATGTACAGCAGATCATTGATGGACCTGTATACAATCATTTTCTTTGCTTTTATGAGGCATGTTCTAACACAGGATTTAGGAATATGCAGAGGGATAATTAAGTAATTTTTAGGTGTTACCAGAAAACAAGATCACATGAAAACTAGACTTTGTACAGGTACAGGTTTCAGTTACAATATTGATTTTCATCATTTCCAAAGTCTGCCAGTATGAAACTAAGCAATGAATGGAATATTCTTAAAGACACATATATGAGGAAATCAATGACTAGGTATATTACAGAAACAAGTCTTTTTACCTAAGGTATATACATATTCTGCTTCCAAATATTATTTTAAAGTTGTTGTTTTTCTCTCCTAGGGCATGGAAGAAAACTTTAAACAGGTCAGACTCCAGGACAGGCAAGACCAAGAAAATCTAGAGAAGAAATGCAGCAGAAAGGTATCCATACTTACCATAAGTTTTGCCATTTTATTAAATCAGTACAGTGATGCCACAGTAGCTCTGGAAATCAAAGTATTTGAGAACCAATTAGGAGGACCATTTGCTAAGTTTTTGTGACAAGATAGAATGACTAAGAAACATATGGCAGAGCTTTTCGGGTCTTCTGAGGGAGACCCCACTTAAATCTTAGCAGAGAGAAATCAGTCCCCATTTGTTCATCTGAATATCAAACTGCTTGTCTGAACATATTTTTGTTCAACATTATTCTCTGCAGTGCTTTTTGAACTGTAAGATGGGGTAGGAAATGAATGGGAATGCACATGAGACATCAGGAAAGTTTTGGACCATAAAATCATTCTGAAGTGGCCTAAAGGTGTTTTGTGAAGTGTTGCACTGAAGCAGATTTTAATAATGGCTGAGAAACAGCAGAAGAACCGACTCAGTGTATCACAAGTATTTAAATTAAATGATTATTAAAGACACCTTTTCCTTAAAATCAGTGATGTTCTGCCTTTCTCTACTGAATGCAGTCTTTTGGAAACATCCATAAACTGCTCTTTAGAACAATCTATTTTTGTCTTATTTGATCTTGTTAAAGAAAAATGCTGCTAAACAGAAGTCATTTTTAACAGAGCAATGGTTTTCAAGTTTGTAGTTCTCTATAAACTGTGTGCCTTTAATTATGTACTTTAATAATATATTTTAATGAAGTGTTTGAATTTTCTTTAGGGGGGAGTAAAATTTGAAATTAATTTAGATGTGTGTGTTCCTGAGGAAGACAGCATTCAAGAAGCAGAGGTAGGGTTCAGTTATATTCAAGCACTTACATCAGTAATCTGGAATGGTGACAGTAGCTCCATTATCTAAGGTTTAAATGTTTTCATGACCATCATTCTCTACCTTGTTTTTTTTTCCAGGTACAGGATAAACTCAATGAGATATTAACTTCTGTGGATAGTGAGAATCTTGAAGACAAATTGTTGAATGTTTATGAAAATCCTATGGACAGGGCCTTGGGAGAATTATCTGGACACCAAACAGGTATTTCATAGGGAAATTCAATTGACTATGAGTCCTGAAAATAAGGTAGGAGCTAGATAAGTTCAGTAACTGCAAGACATAACAACTTTATCTGATGTTTCTCTCTCACTTCAATATCTTATACCACTATCAATGTTACAATCCCCCTGAAATCTATTTAAAAATGAAATAACTTCTTCCTCTTTTTCTTCTCTCTAGCGTCCAGTGATGCAGGTGATACTGAAACAAAAAGAAAGCATTGGCAAGCTGGAACACCCCAGACACTACTGAAATGTTTAGCCAATATTGATACTTCATCTGTATCTGTATGTCCTACTATGGCTGAAAATGAACTTGGTAAGAAAGTTTTTATGCTTTTCAGTGAGCTAAAGTGGGGAGCTACTAAAATTCAGCCAGACTGCTCATTTAAATACCTCTGCAAACTTTCCCATACCAGAACATTCACATGATTGAACAGGCTTTTAATTGGAAGGACACTGTAATAGCTGAGGTTATTGGATGTGTTAAACCACAGAACGAAAGAATTGCTTTGCCCTCTAATACTGCAATCATGTTTTGCTGCTCATAAATAGAAAGAGCACAGTTTTAGGAATCACTGTGTGACCTGAGTAATTCGCTGCCAGTCTGCAGTGAATCAACACAGCTTTCTCAGGCGTTGAGCTGATAATACAAAAGAACTCTGGCAGTCTGTGGCCAAAGTCATCCAAGAGCATGGTGGTGTTCTGGTTTCCCATGCCACAGACTCGTGTTAATACACATCACGAGTGCATCCTTACACAGATGTGATTGTGGTGGTTTTCCTTTTCTGAAGAGGTGATTTGTTTACTTTCTTGCAGTACCAGTGCATATATTCCCAGACAGAAAGGTAGCTTCAGTGACTGGGTGCTGTAAACAAAGGACTTGTCCAGCATCCTTGCTATCTCCCAGCACCCCAGATACACAGAAACAACCTGAAGAGTTTGCATAGATAGTCAAGACAAAGCAAAATATTGTTAGGATGCCACTTCTTGTTCCTTGCACATTAGGTGATGGGCACAGGGAACAAGGGAAACAGGAACTTTTTGGAAGCTTTTCAGCTCCAAACCAACAAGTCTGAGAACAAGGACTGCTCAGTGAAGCTCTACCTGTTTATTCCAGGATCAAGTATGCTTATTACTTGAACATAAACACTGGTGTTAAGAAATTTTTAGTGACAAACAGTCCAGACAGAGCAGTGTTGCACAAAAGGAAGAAATTAGAGTTAAAATCAGTTTAATTCTGGCAAAAGGCAGTGACAAGCCACAGTCATGATTTAGTGACCTGAGAACCTTCCTGTTCTTCAGCTGACCATGTTATTCTGCCTGAAGACATCACAGCAAACAGGAAGCAGTGGAAACAAACAGCCCCAGGGACGCTCCTGAACATCTTAGCAAAAGCAGAGCTCTGTAATGATTCCTTCATCCAGCTTAAAGAGGAAATAGGTAGGATGTCTGTTACTGTAAATTACACAAGGTTTTCTTCAGTTACTGTGCTACTGTGCTACTGGCAGAGGACAAGAAGCAGTACTTCTAGAAAATTTAGAAGCAGTTGACAAATGAGAAAAGCATTGGCAGCTTCTGCCAGCAGCTCTGGCTCTGTCCTGTAGCAGTGCAAGTTCTCTTTCAGGATGTAGCTGTTTTCAGCAGATGGGAAAACCTGCTTACCAGCTATCACTTTATATATAATTCTTCATTTACCTGGGCAGAATGAGGTTAAGGTACTACTTGCAACAAGGCAGGAGATAGCACAAACCTGGAATTAGCCTCTGCAGCAGTTGAGATTGAAGAAGCTTGTAAAAAATGTACAAATCTGTGCAAATACATGTATTTCTGTGGAACAGCTGTAAATTGTAGTACATAATGGCTGGTGAGTAGCTTTACATAGTCCATGCTGATACTGCTGACACTGAAACTGATTTCAACTCACTTATGCTGCAGCACACTTCTCTAAAGTAAGAGGCTGCTTTAAAAATGACATTTTCTATGCATCAGCACGTAGCTAAAAGGCAGAGAATTTTCTACAGAAAGATAAATGTAACCAAATGGTGTCATTTTACACAGAGTTGCCAGTCTACTGAATGTTTAATTGGAAAACAGGAAGCCAAATAAATTGCATGCACCAAATTTCAATATTTTTAGTGGATCGTGAGAAATATCTTTCATTCGCAGCAGTGCAGACAGCACTCTCTTGCTAATTATGCATCCCATACATGCTCCAATAGAATAACAAGCTTTTGAAAAACTGCTCCATCCTGAAGGCTTAATGAGGCTGAATTACCTTTCTGGAAACTGGCTTTAAAGCTTACACATAAAAAAAAAAAAAAAGGAAAAGAAAAGAAAAAAAGCAAATTGCTTTTCATAGACTCACAAGGTTGGAAAGGACCTACAAGATCATCTGGTCCAACCATCCTCCCATCACCTCTGCTACCACAAGCACTAAACCAAATCTCACAGCTCCTCATCCAGGCACCTCTTGAACACTGCCAGGGACGGCGCCTCCACCACCTCCCTGGGCAGCCATTGCAGTGCCTGACCACCCTGAGAGAAAAAGTTCTTCCTTATGTCTAAACTAAACCTCCTCTGATACAACCTGTGGCCATTTCATTTCATTAATGTCAGCAGCCCATAGAACTAAAGCAAGAATAAGGTCATGTGGGTATTCTTAAGTGCTATTCCTTTGAGCAGTTACATGTTAAAATACCACCCTCCTTCAATACGCAGTTCTGTCCTGCTACAAAAGTTGTCATTCTGGAATACCTTGTTACCCAAACCGACAGATTTCAGTTGGACTACACACAGGATTCATCCCATGTGTACTGAAACAACCCTTAGAACAGTTCTCCCACTTTTCAGGTTGAAGTTGCCTTCCAGTCTCTAAAAGTGAGCAGTTTCAGCGAATCATAGCTACTATATTCAAGCAGTAATTTTCAGCCTTTCCCACACAGTATTCTCCTAAGTTTTCCACTGAAAATAGAGGCTTGTTGTATTTGGTACTTAACCTCCTAACATCAGATCTGCATTCTTACTTACCCTTTATAGTCCTTTGGTTGTGGTCTACAAACGTGCTGGATTACAGAATCACAGAATCACCCGGGTTGGAAGGGACCCCAAGGATCATGTAGTTCCAACCCCCCTGCCTAGCAGGGCCACCAAACATACACATTCAGATCAGGTTGCCCAGGACCCCGTCCAACCTGGCCTTAAACACGTCCAAGGATGGGGCATCCACAACCTCCCTGGGCAGCCCGTTCCAGGGCCTAACCACTCTCCTAGTAAAGAACTTCCCCCTAACATCCAACCTAAATCTTCCCTCCCTCAACTTGGATCCATTTCCCCTAGTCCTGCTATTGTCAGCCCTTTTGAAGAGTTTACTCCCCTCCTGGGTGTAGGTTCCCTTCAGGTATTGATAGGCTGCAATGAGGTCACCCCGCAGCCTTCTCTTCTCCAGGCTGAACAAGCCCAACTCCCTCAGCCTGTCCTCATAGGGGAGGTGCTCCAGCCCCCTGATCATCTTAGTTGCCCTCCTCTGGACCCTTTCCAAAATCTCAATGTCTTTCTTGTACTGAGGGCTCCACACCTGGACACAGTACTCCAGATGGAGCCTCACAAGAACCGAGTAGAGAGGGACAATCACCTCCCTGTCCCTGCTGGCCACCTCTCTCCTGATGGAGCCCAGGATTACACCGAGCTGAAGTTATAAACTGCTGACTAAAACATGTCATCAGGAATAACTGAAGTCGGTTAAGCACAGTACTGACAGTGCTGTATTCAACAAATAAATAAATAAATAAATAAAGCATTTATTTATTTGCTATTATTTTAGATACTATTTTATAACTAGCTAATATGGAAATAAAGACATTAACCTTGTTGCCTTCAGAAGAAAGCAAGGAAGACGATTCAGAAACGTGTGCCTGTGTTGCTGTTGATGAAGGCAGACTTGAGCCAAGATCAGATGATGAAGACACGTAAGTCAGGCACATCAGAAATCAAATTCATACGATGAAGTTTTCATGAAGTGGCAGGATGTATTGCCTGAAGCTCTTTTTCTCCATTCTTTTAAATTCATAACTGAAGAAAACTTGTTTTACAGTCTGCTAATGTACCTTTCAACTCTGTAATTTATTTTCAAGTGCTAACGCTGATGTTAAAAACGTTAGGCCTAAGTATTAACATGGCTGGTTCCCATTTAGATAGCAAAAGATCTCACAAAAAGAGGTAAAGACACAACTTACGTTTTCTATGTAGCTTGTATATTCTTTACAAAGCATTGTAAAAAGTCTCCAAGGCACTGAAACTATGAACACTTGTAACAACATACACTTAACGAATACAAATTTCTTGCTTAATTTACAGAAATTTTGCAGACTCTGGAGATGAGCTGAGACATGAGCTGGAAGCAGCTTTGGAAAAAGCAGTAACGTCTTCAGCAGAGAGATGCACAGAGTCTTCTGTGCTTTCAATACATAAAGATCAAGCTCATGAAGAAAGCACAAGCTTACCTAGCAAGCTACTTGAGAAATGTAATGATGAGTTAGAAAGTAACTGCGGGTCACTTACTTTAGATGCAAATAATGGAAAAAGCAAGCAACAGCTACGTGATGCCCAAGAATGATTACTGATTCAAAACACAATTTTCCTGGAAATGTGAACTACATCAGTAAAATAATAATAAAAAAGAACAGGTAGCTGTCAATAAATTCCAGGTAAATCAATTGCTTTCCAATAGCATTAAACAATTAAGATATTTCTTGACATTTTTTAAAGGAAAAAAAAATAACAGGCTACTTTTGGGATTACTACATGTTGAAAAACTCCAATCCAGAATTGTGTATGTGATGCACTTTCCTTGATTAATGTAAACTACCTGGGACATCTCTGACACTTGCCTGGGCAACTTCTGACTGCATAGTCTGCAGCCATTTTTATATCATGTCAGAAGGTCTCCCAGTCAGCGTATTTTATTTTCATAGATCGATCAACCTCCCATTTTAAGAAGCTTTTCCAGCTTTTCACAACCCCTCAGTACCATCAGTGCACCTTAGTATTTCATGTAGTTTCATTTATACTGCACTGACTGCACCTCCAACTCAACTTATACAGCAGCAGTAAGAGGTCTTACTGTGCCACGTGTGCATTCCCCAGTTCCTAATAAAACTTAGGACAGGGTTCCAGTGAATTAATTAATTTCCAGTGATTAAACATGCGTTTTTCCAACCATATTTTTTTCACATACAAAATGTCATCAACACAGGTGAAGTTTAAATAGAGGAAAAAATCGTGTTCTAAAGTCTGATTTCAGTAGCTTGTTGCACTTTTCTTGTAGTTCTCAGCACAACCTAAAATACTGTTGTGATGGCTCAAAAAAACCCACAGTGTTTCTCCAGTTTGGATATGAAAACGGATGCTTCGTATTTTAACTTTTTGCTCACTTAGTTCTCAGTGTCATAAGCACTCTTAGAGTTGTGAGGTTTGTATTTGTGTGCTATCTAATTATGGTCTCTAATTTAGGCCCTCCTATTTCCTAGGAACAGAAAATCTTTCAGTAGGATAGAACACGAGAAATACTATGCCATACTGTAAAGGACACAAGGAAAGAGCTAATGTGAGGACTGACAATTATGACACTAAAAAAGCAAGCTAGCAAATTGTATTAGAGGAACTGCTATAGGTAATGAAATCACCAAGACTATATGAGAAACAGCTGCTTACATTTTTCTTCATTAAACGTAACTACATTTTTCTTCTCACGTTGTTGGAGTACTTAACTTTACCAATGGAAGAAACACATATACATATATATGCACCTATCTGTAAAAACATGAAACAGTGTTCTAGGAAGGATTCTGCACATTAAGAATATAGAATTTTCATCAGAAATACAAGAGAGTATTTATTTCCCAGTAAACTCTCTCTATTACATAAAACATATACCAACAGAAAAAAGAAAGATCTCTTTATTGAATAGGAGCAAGGGACCATAAATTACACGTATTTACAGGTGACACGGGGTCCAACACAACAAGTTTTATTCCTATGCATTTTTGTTCGCATTCATTTAAATAAGGGCTCCACAGATAAGAGGAATGTCTCTTCAAAACGCTGGTCAGAAAACCTGCACACAGACTGGCGAGCACTTTCTCTGATCTCTAACCTTTCTTCAGGAGACATGGAAAAGATGTGAGCCATTGTCTCGGCGTAACTGTCCTCGTTCTCTGCTAGGAAGCCTGTAATACGTCCTTCATAGGGAACCACAATATCCAGTTTGGGGCCACCAGAATTGTGAGCCAGGATAACTGTGCCAGCTGCCATGCATTCAACCACTCCTGTAAAAGACAGAAAACATGACATGAATGTGTACATTGCATGCTTTGGTTTTCAATAGTTCACTGGAAATTTAAATCCGTAATAAAATTCACCTGGAATTATAAATTAATATAGACTGGAGTTTCTAGATAAGTGTGAAAAATACAGATTAAATGCTCTCACAAGCTCTGATCCTAATAAAGTCTGATGACATTAACTTCAGCTTGGTCACTTCATAGCCAAGCTCAGTAACCCTGTTTGCCTCCAACCTTACCATATTGTAGCTGTACGGTGCAGGCAATCTTACATTCCCTTTCAGGGAAGACAGGAAGACCCAACTAATCCCAATACACTGTGCCCGATACCTTAATTCTGCATGGCAGCACACTGCAAACCATGTCTCAGCCCCTCTTTGAAATTCAGCTTCACACCACAATGACTGATTTTAGGACTGATGTTAGCACAGGCATCTAATGAAGTGAGATGGCCTATATATATATATATATAAAATATATATTTTATCTCTGAGAAACTCCGAGAAACTCACCTCCAAAACAGCAGCTAGAGCCCTCTGACACATATTAGGCATTTCAGATAGCAGTTAAGCAGATGGAACATTCAAAATCTCTCTGCATGTGAGCTAGGTCTAAGTGTCTAAACTCCCCTTGCAGTCAGTGGAGCCAAGAGAGCACTAAGTTGCTTCAGCATAGGCTATGCAGGGAACAGAAGGCATCTGTGTAAGTCTGACACATGTAACACAGGCCTTCAGCTGCAGGGACTTTGTGCTTGCAGATTAACAGCTGAATGTCAGGCAGGACATCCTAAACAGATGGCATTTGCTGTCTAAGTGACTAGAGGATGCCCATAATGCAGTCTGCGATGTTTACAACAATCCAGCTTGCACTACAGTAGCACCTAGTGAACTGACATCTGAACTGGTCGTGAAGGTTCTACCTGTTAGATCACCATTGCCAACAACAGCACTTGGTCACCTGCTTGGCATGCAGACCTCTTAGGTTCAAACACAAACTGAAGCCCTCCTCATCTGCGTTCTGAACACTGAGACAAGCAGCTGAAAGCTGAAGAGGGATACTGACCGATGCCAAAGTGCTCATTCCACATTGTATGCAGGCCAATGGTGGCCTCGGCCAGGTGTTTCTTTAACTCCTCAAAGGGAATGTTTATTCTGAACATCACACTGTTACTAACTCCAAGCTCTTCACAAAGACATTTAAGGTTATTCACACGGTCTTCATCTTGCTGGTTCCGACAGCCTCCAATTAAAATAAGCTTCAATGAGAGCTGCTGCCTCAGTCTCTTCTCTTTCAGCAACTTAGCAAAGGCTCGGATTTGCAAAGGGTGATCTTTTTCAGGCCTGAATTGGCTGACAGAAACAATAGAATATTCAGCACTGTTCTTTTCCTCTTCCAGTGGGATATCCAGGAAGGACTGAACATCACATGGTGGATACACAATGCTAGTGCAAGCCCCAGTTCTCCAGAGGGAAAGAATGTGATTTAGTGTCCAGGAAGAATTGACCATAACCACGTCGCTGCAGTAACCCACCGATCCGTACATGAAGGCAAACAAGTAGTAGTAGACAAGTTTCAGTTTGCTGAAGAGAGGATTGTTTGTAATGAAAGCCGCATTGTTAAACCTGGTATCCTGATTCCTAACTACAGAAAGCATATCGGTGCTGATGGTGGGATAATGGACATAGCATCCAACACGACAACCTCCTAAATATTTAAAGAGGGGGAGAGTAAAAGCATAACCCATCGAGTCAATGTAAATATCTGGAACACACTTGAGAAGAGCTTCCCAACCGAGAAACACGGAGCCTAAACTTTGTCCCAGCAAAGTGAAGCGAGGATAAAGAGAAGCTTCCACAAGATAGCGTTTTTCCAGAAATACAAACTTCACAGGATGAGTCAATTTAATGTTGAATCTTCTGAAAGCACCTTCTACTATGTCTTCTTCAGTGGCATCTCTATCACCAGTGTAAACAACACACATTACATTCCTGTACCTGGAAGAGAAGAGAATTTCGCTCATTCTTCTCATCAAATTTTCTAACACAAAACTCAAATATTATCCACTCAAAATTTACCAAAACGTATGTTCTAAATCAAATGTCTGGCCTACCTCTGGAACAACTTACATGTAACTAAATTGATGATATGAATTCTTTCCCTTACACTTTTTTTTTTTTTTTTAAGTAAAAGCTGGGGACCAGGAATCTTTTTTTAAAGAAAGGATCTCAGTATTAATCAACAGGTTTAGAAACACCTTGCAGCATACTAGAATGTCCATCCAGTGTACAGCATGAGTGAAATGCAAAAGACTGTGCAAGCCAGTGGACGTGCCAATGCTGAATCACTTTATGTATTAACTCAGTCTCCTGCACTAAGAGGCCATTACTGAGACTAGATCATCAGTTACCTACACACAAGTTATGACCCTAAAAGCTCCCTATGAGTGCTGCAAAACTGATGGAGAAGGATAGATTCTGCCAAGGAGGAAAGAACTGACAGGTGCCATAGCTATGAAGGAGACAGAGGATGGAACAAAACGTGGGTAAAGGGCTGAAGAAGAAAGGTGAAATGTAGGACCCGTATAGCAATGATAACTATTCAAATGTGCAAAATGTCATAATTTGCATAAATGGTATCATGAGAAACAGAGCAAAATATGGTATCACCTGATAAACAGATGTGCTTACTTTTTCTGGAGCGTTCTTATGGCACACCACAAGACTCTCTCTCCTCCACCACCTGCGTTGCAATAGGGATGAAAAAACGCAACCAGCAGTGGCTGCCTCCCATCCCTTCCTGCCAGGTTCTGCTGCTTTCTCCTTCCTTGTATCCAGAGCCTTATTCCACACAGCAGGACGGCCAAGCAGGTGCACAGAACTCCACTTAGAAACAATGCAGGGATTAACAACGAGCACAGGAATCTGAAACAAGGTGGAAATTGTAAAATATAAAGCTGATTAAAGGAAACACTCCGTGTGAAATCCATACAGAAAGGTGTAAGGGTAGAGCCAGAGGGTGCCAGACAACTTCTTGAGTTCTTCTAACCGCTGAAATTATCAGCATCACTGCTCCATTTCAATAATTACATTCAAAAACCACTATTCTACGTTGTTCAGCAATTTTTTTTACAGATGTCAGCGATGGTTTATTGACATTATTTATGTTTGCGTTATTACACTACATAAATATCACCCGCTCTACTTCAACGTGTCACATATACTCCAAAGGCCGCGCGCCCGCAGCAGCGTGGCACAGCACAGGGCGCACAGAGAATCCTCAACAGATGTTCAGGGCCCTCCTTCAGCCCAGCTCTGCCTTCCGAAGCTCCGCAGCCGGTCACGGCAGAGCTGGGCCGGCAGTTTCCCCTTCCCTCCTCGGGCTCGGCAGGACCGTGGAGCGCGGAGCCGCCCCCACCTGTCCGCCCCGTACCTGAACAGCCCGCAGATGCACAGCCCACCCGCCACCATCTTGCGCGCCGCCGCCCCTCCTTCCGCCGGAAGCGCCCTCCGCTTGGGGGCGGGACCAACCAGGCATTGCCTCTCTCTCATTGGCTCTCGACGGAGATGGACGGCGGGGATAGGAATGAGCGGGAACAAGAATGGGCGGGAACAAGGAGTGGGAGTGGCCCCATCTGAGGGAGCGGGGTAGGGTTGGGCGTTTTGTGAGCAGGTGTGTGGCTGCGTGTGTGGTCTGCTCGTGCTTTTATTTTTTTTCCTTTATTTTGAGGGAATGATTTTCCTCTTCTGGGGAAATCATGCACTGACTTGTGATCTCTCAGCACGATTGAGGCCAGAGCAGTCTTTTTCATATCATAGCCCTTGGTGAGTCCGTAAGTCGTGAGGCTGGTAGGATGCTTGAGAATGTTTCCCCTGGCCTTAGCAGAAGATGGTGTTGGGTGCCTTAGTTTGGCCATTGCTAAACCCAAAACAGAGGGATGAAGTCTCTCCTGTACTGAGAGCAGGAGGAAATTGGAGAGTAATGACTGCGGACTGGCAAATGGATGAGGCCAGGCTCTTCTTAGTGGTGTATAGTGATAGGGCACAGAGCAGTTGCCTAAAACCTGAACATAGGAAGTAACATAAAAACATGTGGAAGAACTTTTTATATTGAGGGTGGCAGAGCTCTGGAACAGGCTGCTCAGAGAGGTTGTGGAGTCTCCTTCTGTGAAGATATTCCAGACCAACCTGGATGCCTACCTGTGCAGCTTGCTATAGGGAGCCTGGATTCAATGATCTCTGAGGTCCCTTCAAACCCCTACAATTCTGTGGTTCTTTTTCAGATGGGGAATGAGAATGGAACTGTGTCAAGCTGTGGAAGTTAGCATTCTATTAATCGTTACTGAAGTTTTTGTTTAAGTATTCATCCCTGTCTCAAGTACAACTGACAGTAACTTTTATGACAGCATGTCTGCCATTAGGTGAGCAGTTACATTGGAACAGTTCTGTTGGGAAGTCCAGCACATGTAATCTAGCGTTTAATTTCCGATCCAGCTGTTTTCCTAAGTTGTGTGCAACTGGCACTATTTCTTCTCCCTCTGTTCTAGCAGAAGAACTGGTCTGCTTCCCCAGCAGACCAATTGCCTGAGAAGCACATGAGATGTTTGCAGAAGGGATCTGTGCTAGGTTGATGTCTCTTAGCTGAAGACACCTCTCTTTTGTCATCAAGCTGACTGTCTGGGTGCAGAGAAGAGGCACAGCTTTTCTAGGGAACAAGTCTGGTCTATTTTAGCTGATGAGATCTGTGCATCACTGACTTGAAAAGGAGCTAATGGCTACTCCCTCAGAACCTATGAATCTTGGGTTGAATTTCTTCTTTGAAAAGATATTCTGATACAACTTTTCCAGATCCTTATCAATGCTAAGCAGAGAAACAGTTCTTTAAAAGACATAGACTAGGTGCAAAGGGCTATGAAGAACAGCTGCGTTGTTTCTGCCTGGAATCTCCTTGTAACCACTACTTCCCCGGTTCAGATGTGCTTTTCTTCATAGAAACTGCTGAAGTCCTGATACAGGCATCTAAATCCTTTCTTTGGAGCTTCCTCTTGGTTCTCTCTGGCTAATGAGAATAATAAAAGAATCACAGAAATTATGGTCTT